ATGAGAATATCTCAATAATATTCTGTCATAAACCTAATCTCAAATAAAATTTACATAAATAAGTGTCTAAGAAATATAAACATTTAGAGAAATATATTGTATTAAATTAGTTTCTACAAACTCTATACTTTTCTATCTCTTAATACAAAACACCTGACATAATTTAGACATCCTTATGAAGGTGCTACCACCAGCGTTACCGAAACCATAACGAGTACCATCATTGTCGGTTGTCGGCAGGCAGGCAGGCAGGCAGCATCCTGTCCTGTCCTGTCCCGTCCTGTCTCCTCCCAAAGGGATTTATGCTGGAAAATGGAGGGCAGGAGGAGCTATGTACTTCCCGTAACTTTTGCAGACTCACTCGATGGCATCTGTTTCAGCAGTTGCCACAAAAACACCCCGAAACAATGGCAAAAACAATAACAACCGAAAGAGCAACAAGGCTAACTTGAAGGAACCAACGTACTACAGTTATTTGACTTTTAACTTTTATTGCTTTATGTAGTTTAGATAAACGTTTGCGGCATGCCATAAATATGCAGCATGTTGTTCTTTGGGGCCAGCAAAAATGAGCGGGAAAACTAAGCAGGAGTTTTCAAGGATTCAAAGGGAAAATAAGAAAGGTCAGATCAGTTTTAGATGTAGCTACAGATCAAATGCTCTTTCTTTTCTGCAAAATAATTGAATATTAACATATTAATTGACATTGAGAAATAAGCATATGTGTGAATATTTATTACTGAAATATAATATTAATAATAAAGGATTTCAAAAAAAAATTTACATTTTGGAATGCTTTAAGCGATATTGTAGATCCCTTGATTAATACAGTTTTCTTTTTTATTTTCTTTATTTATCAACACTAAAGTAGCATAAAATTTCGATATTTTAAGTCTTTCTATGTATGAGCTACAAATCGATATATTAAGTTTACAATGAATGTGCTAAAAATTGATATTCAGCTGATGTTTTGAACTATTCTTAAGAAGAGCTTTAAGTAAATTTAAGATTTTATTGCTGAACACATAATAGGGTATAACAGGGTATGTAACAATGTAACAACAATAATATCCCGATATTTTTCGATACAATCGATATTTTGATGATGTATTGAAATTTCTCTGTTTTAGATTGTGATATAATTTCGATAGATTTCTATACATAAAATTGTGATATATTTTTTTATATGATATGTTAGATTTCTATATATTAAATTATGTGATTTCAATATACTATTTTTGACGGTATATTATATTTGACTCTATATCTCGATATATCAGCACTATTATAATTTCTGTCATTACAGAACTTCCTTAAATATCTCCATAACCCTTAAGGTAGTGTATACAAAGAGTAACTTGACTGGGAAAAATATTGGTTGGCACTGAAGTCGACTCTTGTCTACTGATGGCCTTCGATGATAGACAATCGGCAGACGTTCAAATGGTCAAATGGGAGCATTGGGCTGTGGTCGGTGCAAAACTATTTCTGATTTATGCTGTAAGTTGCAATCTGTAACTGGGGAAACTTGCAACTCATGTACTTGCCACTTTTGCACTTGACTTTTACGGCAATTTGTCGGGGAGATTCCCAAACTCCTGTTGCACATTCCATCCATCTATATGAGGGTTAAAGTTGATCTTTATTTTCTTTTTCCTTTGCCAAAACTTTAAGCAGCGAAAGTTTTAATTAATTTCACACGCCTCGAACTTAACTTGCGCATCTAATTACATCGGCGAGGTGTAAATAAGGTGGTGCGGCGGGGTGTGTGTGTGCCACGTAATGTGTCTGTGGGAAACCATCATTATCGCGAGGCGCCTCATAAAATGTTGAAAGCAAAAGGCAAACAAACAGCAGCTGCAGCCACAAAGTATGCAACACGTTCGCGCGCAATAAAAGAGGGGCTTGTGGCGACAAAAAGGGGGTTTTTGGGATTAATCCTTGGGGTGGCGATTAGACGGTCAAAGTATTCGGAAAAAGCAAACAATTATCGGTTTGTAATATTCAATGCGGGTCGGATGTAATGCATATATTTAATATTACAAAGGGCGGTTACTTAAACCAGGAAGGCTTTAAATATTACAAGGTTAATATTATTATGTAAATAATAGAATATTAGTTATGTTGTTCCTAAAAATAGTTCAAAATTTACTTCTTCTAGGATTAATTTATAATTTAAGTTTCCTACAGATAAGATTATTCAAAGATTCGATACAAGTTTTATTTTTGTACAAGTGGAAATGTTATAGTCGAGTGTGGTGTATCTCACAGTCTTATGACTATAAGATACTCGGGACCTATAGCATGATGGCTAGTTTACTACGTTTAAATATGCCAACAATTATAAAAAAAAACTTACATTAAACATTGCTGAAGAACGATGAAAGACAAAATGTTGCTAGGAACATGTTGAGCAACATCCAAGTAAAGCCAAAAGTACCTTCTGGTGCTTTGAGCAGGGATCTCATTTTAATCATTTTTAGTTCTTAAGACAAAAATATAATATAATATAAGACATACTTTCTTGTAATAAATAGAAAATTCACATTCATTCTTATTATTCAATTTTAATAAAAAAGTAGTTAAAATTTTTATTAATTTTCAATGGTTATAAAAATTATTTTCCAATTTTTATTTTAATGATCTTAACCATATAAAATGAAAGTATTTCCATTGTTGTTGGTGCTCTTGATATTTATTTGGTATACCCAAAAATAATTGCATTATTAATTTATAATACCATCGTATTTTCCAGGATTATAATACTTCCATAGTTCTACTTTTATTCAAGAATGTTTCATTATATTAAATGTAGGAATAAAAACCTAAAAATGTTGCTAAAAAGAAACATGCTAATTAAATTAAAGTGTACATATATGAATAAAGAAATATTATTAGCTCCTAATAACTTGAAGAAGTTTAAACAATTGAAGTTATTAGATATAAAAATGATGTCCTATATTTCAAGTTTAAATATAGTTATTAATATTCAATATTTCAATAAAATGTATGCGGTCAATGAATAAAAATAAAAAGATAGATTCCAAGTATGTCATCATGGTTATCCTTTAATATCAATTCAATTCTCGTAGACACTTTACCCATATTACCTTATCCTTTCTTCCTATCTGAGATGCGGTCCACAAAGTATCTGAGCAACTGCATCTGTGTCTCGCTGGTCCATTTGCACATTTCGGGATGCATTTGGAAATCCGCTTAAATGACGAACCCACGAACCACGTACGCCTCAAATCGACAAAGGCTTTCCCTCTCTCTTTTGGTGCAAACACACACCTCCGACATGGAGTCAAACACCTGCGAAATTGAATGAGAAATATCCATTCTGTGTGCGTTGTGTGCGTTGTGTGTGAGTGTGTGTGGCGGTGAGCTGTTGTTACGCTTTCAAACTTATTTCCCTCCTTCCCCCTCTACTGCCTCCTGGAATATAGTTGGCCAAAAACAATTTTATTTCATCGAAAGAATTTTAAGCAATACAAAAGGATTTTCAATGCGTGAACTGCAACTTGTTTCCATTCTTTTTATTTTGGCTGCCAAAAAATTTCAATCTAGTTGTATTCTTTTATAAAAATGAAAACACTCTGTGGCATCTTAAAGTTGGTCAAACCCAGGAAAAATCTTTAACAAAAGGAATTTCTATGTAGGAAGTTAAAGGCTTATTGGGTGTAGTTTTGATATTTAATTTAAATTGTTATTAAAAGATATTATTTTTAGGAAATGGAAAAGAAATCTTGTTTGGTTTTTAAGGAAATATATATCATAACATCTTTAAGTTTAAATTTTATAAACATAAATATTCAAACACACTTTTCTGTGGCAAAAAAAAGAATTTTAAATGAAATCCCAAAACTTTGCCCATCAGTCTGGTGCCGTGTGAGATGTTGTTGTGATTTGGCATATATCTATTTTTCTGTTGGTTGTTTTTTCTCCGGTTTTTTTTACTCCATCATAAAGCATCAAATGTCAGGAGCAGCATCCCAGTCAACAACAACGCACAATTTCAAAGTTTGAATTGAGTTGTGTCTGGAGTTGTATGTATATTTAGAAGATATATATATATATAGTATTAGTCTAGCAGTTTTGTTTGCGATAGTCGGAGTTATTCCCCAGATTTCAGTTCCCGGTCGCCAGTCCCCTGGCATCGTAATCAGCGGAACGAGAAACGAAGGCAGCGATAATACGATGGGAATTTAGCGGTTTACATGATTCATCCGACTTGAGAATGTGGATATTAAATGTAGAGTACACTCATAAATACACTGAGAAAAATTAATAAACGCATGAAGGTAAAATATTTATTGTAAATTTAGCTTAATATTTATTTTCACATTTAATCTCTTTCAGTTCATAAATTATTTTGAATATTAAGATAATTTTATTTGTACATTTTCACTTAAATATTTAAAATTAATACATTTTACTACAAATTAATTTATAATAATTTATATAAAATATTTATATTAAGTGTATAAAATTTAACAAAATTATAAAAGTGGTTTTAAGTAATTTCCTTGTTATTTTTTGTTATTTATGACATTATTACATTATTATTTACATCTGTCCAGGAAGCACTTAATTGGTTACTTTGATTAGTGAAGTAACAAATTATATTTGTTTGAAAATTTTCCCTGGTGACAGTAATTTTTGTACAATTATACCCTTTACCCTAATTTAGGTGTTGCGCAACATGTATCTAGCAACATTTGTCTTGGTTTAACAACATTATCTTCTACCTTTTGCCATGTTTAATTAAAGTTTTTCATATATTCGACCCCAATAAGAGCAAGTGAATTAATTTCAACCATATTGAGTTTGGTTCTGGGTATCTCATAGTAAATCTGTTATATTTGTTTATATTTTTCCATTTATTTTCAATTTTAATACTTTATTCTCTCAGTGTATATTAAGCGATAAGTTTGCAAAATTAAAATGCAAAATAATTTAAATTTATTCTTCCCATTTAGTTTGCATTCTCCATTCGATCGTTGAGTGTCTCGGCTACATTATGGATCTAAGTGTACTCAAGACTCTGAGCTTAAAGATCGATCCCATTCTTCTAATACCTTTTGGTGTTATGTGCTCGATGGCTTTGCTGTGCTATTGTTATCACTGTCATCAGTGTGTACGCGATCGTCGAAGAGCTCGGAACGAGAAGCGGGAACTTCCTCAGCCTCTGAATCGATTATCAATTAGTCCCGGTTGTCCGATCATCGCCAATACCAAGCTGACTCATTGCAATAATCGAGTGGAGGACTATTAACAAATAATTGCAATATTTAGCTCATTATGAATAAGTGAGTTTTCGAACTATGTTCAATATAATTTTTGATTGATCAGAATGTAAAATGTCAAAACAGGTAAATTTCTCAATTAAATTTACTTATTTCTAGCCACAAGTGGACGCTGGTTATGAACCAAATTCCCCTCAAATACATTATCACTGCACCGGCATGTCTATTTATGCTATTCATATTTTTTTACTACTGCTATTTGAGTGTCCGGGAGTGTCGAAGATCTCGGGGACGTGAAAGTACATCGCTTCTGGGACAAATCGGTGAAGAGCAAATACAAGTTTATTAATAAAGTGTGTGAATCATGGAAGAGATAAAACCCCAAGGAAAATAAATAAATATTTATAACAAGCTTAATGGTTAACTAAAAACAAATAAGATACTTAAAAAGTAATGATTTCTCGGTATAAGAAAACAAAGATATCAAGGCTGTAGTTCTTATCACTTTAACTGTCCACGTAGTGACGATGATTGCTGATGTAAAAGGCAAAATATTTATTACAAATTATTTAAACTTAATTAATAGTAACTTCTTTTTTTAATGTTACAATTAATCTTCATAACTTTAATATTTAGAGTAGAAATTGCCATCGTCACTTTTATTTTAAGTCATTAAGTGGTAATTTCATTTCGTTATTATTCGTTACTGAAATGAATGTCATTCTTTTTATAAACATTGATTTTACGATTCGGAGAATTGAATTAAAGTACAAAAGGTCATATAGGATTATATTTTCTATTAAACAATATGTAAATAATTTTATATAAAACAAAAATGTATATATTTAATAAAAATGTAAAATAATAATAAGAAAATTAAAAGAATTTGGTGATTTTATTTTCCTCAAAGTTTCTATTATTACGTTATTACAATATTTAAGGGACCATTTATAGAGTTCATTGTTGATAAATAGTATACTTATTTTGTTGATTAAATTATTTAAGTGACACATGCCAATCGTTTTAATTAGTCTAAATTAAAATTTCACTATTTATACCAAATATTTACCCTATTATTTTAATGAATTCAATCAGTGTGTATGTTGTTCTTATTTACAGTTTATTATAACCAAAATTTTCTATATTAAATACATTTTTTTATAAAATCCCTTTAAATCCCATACATGCAATATTGTTTCTATTTTACAGATGATATGGTAATAAAATATTTTATGAGTTCCTGCCAAGTACGTATACCTTTAAATACAACTTAAACTGAGGACGTGACGTGTTGGTGTTGGCGGTGTTGTTGGTTGCTTACGACGGGCCATAAATTTGGCCAAAACTTGGCTATGCATCTTCTTCGCTGACATTTTCTTTCACGACCTGCAAAATTTAGAGCTGCACGGCGGTTTTTGATGGCCCTCGGTGGCAGGCAGGACGAGGAAGCGCTAATAAATGACATTTTCGTTTGCCTTTCCTCAACAGCCAAGTTGGGCCTGGTAATAAGCCAGGTGAAACTTAAATTAACTGAATGAAGTCGGTGGAAACTTTTGAAACTGAACTTTATCCAGTTTGAAATTGATTCAATAATGGTGATTTAGGTAATTGATCATTTAATTTATCCAGAAGGATGATTTATTAAAAGTAAAGTGATAGAGAAAGAAAATACATTATAATTTCTTAAGAATAAGATAATATTTGGTGCAACATTACATTTTTTGTACCATTTTCAAACTAAATTAACTAACAATCAAGTTTTCCACTTATATATTTAAAATTCAAACCCTGTTAAAACTCTAACCCCTAAAAAATTGAGAATACAAAATGCAAATCCAATTGAATTAGTCAACATTATTTGCTCATCATTTTGGGGGTAACTTTGAAGCGACAGATAGATAGATATATATACTTTATTATTTGGACCCCGGACCAATGACTACTGGCTGGTATCTCCCTTCTGGCCAAATTGAAACGCTAAAATAATTTACGGCTCAACTGACCGGCTGCCGGATCCTTTTGGCTCTCTTTGGATCCTGCAGCTGTATCCTGCCATCGCCTTGATGGCTGGCACGTTAAATGCCATCGAAATGCTCCCAGTTGGAAAATTAGTTTAAAAATACGTTCGTACGGGAAAAGGATGCCATGGCTGCTTCTTGGATGCTGTGGCTGCTGCAGCTCATCTTGATGCCCTTTTTTTTGAAAGAGTTTCTATGTTTTTGATAGAGTTTTGTTACAAATTTTGGGAAGATTTATTTATTTTTTCTATCATAATATGCAGGAATATACAAATTTATAAATTTATATTTATTTTCCAAGAAAATATAATACTTTATTTAAGATATAATATGAAATACTTGATTATTCAATATATAAAATAATACATACATATGATGATAATATAATATATATACTAATGTATAATTATATTTTTAGAATACATTATAAAAAGTAAATGTTTCAAATTCAAATTTTCCTCACGAATTATGTAAATTTTTTGCATATTATATTTAGAATATATTTAATTAACAATTTAAATTACATTGCTTCTCATGTAAAATATAACAGAATTTTATATTAATATAAAGGGTATTCCAATATATTTAATTAACAATTTAAATTACATTTCTTCACATGTAAAATATATCACAATTTTATATTAATATAAAGGGTATTCCAAATGTCGATTCCTAAAGCTCTTCTTCCCTGCTAGTTCTTTTTTTTTGTGGCACGCGACTTGCGTTCAGGGTGGCGTAAAAATTCACTTAGTTCAACTTCTCGCCCACTCCTTATATTTTCAGCCAAGTTACCCAAAGGATAACGATAAAAAGAAATGGAAAAGGAGAATGGAAAAATTTGGAAGTCTTTTTTCCCCCCCTCAATAAAATAGCTCATGTTTTACAATTTTATTAGGTGACGCGGGCTTATCAAATATTTAAATAAAACGATACATTCGACGCTCGTCTTTCATTGTTCCATTTCTTCGCTCTTTTCCGGTTTTCATTTCATTTTTCGTTTAAGTAATTGCATTTTAGTGGACACACGTTTTACACACTGTGACTGCTGTCTGGGGAAAGGAGCTGAGAGTGGGGGGTCCTTAAATCATTTCGTGTTTATCTGGCGACCATAAATTAAGGCATTAGTCGTCGTCCTTCCGAATTGCATCGAACTGTTTGCATTGCGACCGTGGCACTTGGCCGTGCAGCTGCTGCCGCCAAATGTGGGATTTACACAGCGGCCGGGGTTAACCGCAATTGAAGTCGTCTCCTTAAAGAGATATCCTTTCCCGTGACGATGCCCCCCGCTCCAGCCAGGATCATTAATTGTCCAGAAGAACTGGATGAGTGTGTGTGGGCAAAACTTTTTGGGGGGAAAATTAAACATTGGCACTATTATAATTACAGTTAGGAAAACAGTGAATATTTTGATAATTTTTTATTGTTTTTGATTACAATATATCCATGTAAAGTTATAAAATTGTCGAAAATGTAATTTAAAAATGTTTTTATAAAAAAAGTAAATTATATTTACATTTAACATATTAAATTCATACACATTTACTACAAAATAACATCGATATCGGGATAGTCTCGTAAGGGTAGTCCCGAAATTAAAAATGAAGTATTAAAAATTATTTTAAAGCGTTTAAATTTATCCAGACTTGGAATATATTTATTAATTATATATTGTTGAGGAATTAATCGGTCGTTAATTATTACTTCTTTACTTGTTATTATTTTGCTTATAATCATACCTAGTTTAATGAACATAATTGTCTTGTTTACAACATAAGCTTTAAGCTCACACTCATAGCCAAAATGCAGTATATGTGCATGAGTATTGGGACATCACGCGATCTTATTTTTCTTCTGCACGTTTCTATTTTTCGCCAGTTAGATCTAGTTGGAATTTACCCGCAACCGCTCGCTTATCGCACCCGCTTATAAAACTTATTCTAAGACGCTTCATGAATTAATAAACATAAAACACCTAAGACAAAAATAATACAGTCCACTGCATTTATAAACATAACAAAATTTGGTCCTTCGAGCCGGATAACCGCGATTGCTTTTGTGTTTATTTTCGTGAATAATAAGCCACAGATAAAGACTTTTCTTCGTAATGAACCCAATAATGCATCGGACGATTCAACAACGTGGTGCCTGCAAGGGGCAAATAACTCGCACCCTTAACAGCGCAACAGAGTTTTCAGAGAGATGTGATAATGTGGAAACTCTGCAGGTGAAGCTGAATCGTTTAGTAGCAACTTTCGACCACTTTATGGAGCTCTCCGAGGATTTAGTAGCATTCAACATAGAGGAGGGATATGAAGACCCTGGCTTGGATATACCCGAATATGAAGACAAGTTCTACAGCGCGCACGCTATTTTTAGTAAAGCCATAAAGGAGATGGGAGGGCAAGATTATGGCCAAGACCAGTCTAACATTTTGCTCTCAAGTACAGTGGAACGTCTATTTGAGGGACAAAACCAACTATTGGAACAAATTCATTCCTCATCGGGAGCAACTGACTTAAGGTTTGAGAAAATTCGGATTCCCACATTTTCTGGAAAATACGAGGATTGGAGCCAGTTTAGTGATCTGTTTCTAAGCTCAGTAGACAATAACAACAAGCTTTCCAAGTGCCAAAAGTTTCATTATCTGAAATCATATTTGAATGGAGAAGCTCTGTCCCTAATTAAACATATTGCCGTTTGTAATGATAATTACCAAGACGCATGGGAGAAATTGGAAAATCGTTATAACAAGAAAACGCTCATCGCTCGAACGTTTGTTCAGAAGTTTCTGTCGTTGCCTACCGCTACCAATTCGAATATCGCTGAGTTACGTAATGTAATTGACTCTGCCGACGAATGTATTCGTGGCCTGCACGCGCTGAACTGCGACAGCCACGATGTATGGCTAATTCATATTTTGCTCTCAAAATTAAGTCCTGAAATCAAACAGGCTTGGGCCAACTGTAATATGTCGGTCAAAGAAGAGGTCACCATAAATGATTTATTTAGTTTCCTTTTTGCTCATTGTGATACTTTGGAGTCTTGTCAGGAGTTACACGTAATACAACCGTCAAGACCAGCCCAGAGTAAACGCCGCCAAGTCGCCTATCATGCAAGTGGATCAAATCAGCAGTCCCGCGAATGTATTTATTGTCAAGGTCAGCACAACATATATGCATGTGCTGAATTCAAAGCTCTAGATGTACTAGACCGCCGCACCTTCGCCAGGGATACTAAGCTATGTTTTAATTGCCTGAGTCGATCTCATCAAGTCAGGGATTGTAACTCATCGAACACTTGTCGTCAGTGCAATGCTAAGCACCACACTTTAGTTCATCCGATTGAGTCACGATCGGTTCCTTCGGCTCCTGCTCATCTGTCTACTGCTGAATTC